CACACACACACACACACACACACACACACACACACACACACACACACGTGTTCAGGCTTTCAACTTAAGATTTTTTTCTCTCATTGTTACTGTAAATAAAGCATGTTGTATATAAGCATATGTATATATGTGTGTGTGTGTGAGATTGGAGTTTTGATTGAACTGTTTAGTTTATGAGAATAAAGAAAGTCTATCAACAGGAACTCGTCATCCCTTCAGTGATTGAAAGATGGATCTGAGCAATAACACAAGCAGGTGTTCTTACCTGTGAGTGGGGTATTTGTACTTCACTGATTGGATGATGAGTTGCTCCACCTTCTGGTCGGTTTGTGTCACCAGATCAACCGACGAACTCTTTGTCATCACCTTCCTGTCATCCTGCAGAGCCTCATGCACCACCTGATCAATACAGAGCGCAGAGCCGATCAATACAGAGCGCAGAGCCGATCAATACAGAGCACAGAGCCGATCAATACAGAGCGCAGAGCCGATCAATACAGAGCGCAGAGCCAATCAATACAGAGCGCAGAGCCAATCAATACAGAGCGCAGAGCCGATCAATACAGAGCCGATCAATACAGAGCACAGAGCCGATCAATACAGAGCACAGAGCCGATCAATACAGAGCTGATCAATACAGAGCTGATCAATAGAGAACAGAGCTGATCAATACAGAGCTGATCAATACAGAGCTGATCAATACAGAGCATAGAGCTGATCAATACAGAGCATAGAGCTGATCAATACAGAACTGATCAATACAGAGTACAGAGCTGATCAATACAGAGTACAGAGCTGATCAATACAGAACTGATCAATACAGAGTACAGAGCTGATCAATACAGAGCTGATCAATACAGAGCCGATCAATACAGAGCACAGAGCCGATCAATACAGAGCTGATCAATACAGAGCTGATCAATACAGAGCACAGAGCTGATCAATACAGAGCAGATCAATACAGAGCAGATCAATACAGAGCACAGAGCTGATCAATACAGAGCACAGAGCTGATCAATACAGAGCATAGAGCTGATCAATACAGAGCACAGAGCTGATCAATACAGAGCTGATCAATACAGACCTGTATCTGTTACTTTGGAGGAGGATGACATTGAATTATCTGACTATGGCACGCACGCACGCACGCACACACGCACACACCTCTCCGGCTCTTCTTGCGATGGCGACAGCGTGATCCATGGCGTTCTGCCAGAGGTCGGCCATCTTAGAGGAAGAACTCCTTAGAGGAAGAACTCCTTAGAGGACAAAAATGGCATCATCATCATCATGGTTGGCCTTAAAGAACCAATAGAACCTGTTAAATATTCCATGTTGGCCTTAAAGAACCAATAGAACCTGTTAAATATTCCATGGTGGCCTTATATAACCAATAGAACCTGTTATGTATTCCATGGTGGCCTTAAAGAACCAATATAACCTGTTAAATATTCCATGGTGGCCTTAAAGAACCAATAGAACCTGTTAAATATTCCATGGTGGCCTTAAAGAACCAATAGAACCTGTTATATATTCCATGGTGGCCTTAAAGAACCAATATCACCTGTTATATATTCCATGGTGGCCTTAAAGAACCAATAGAACCTGTTAAATATTCCATGGTGAACTTAAAGAACCAATATAACCTGTTATATATTCCATGGTGGCCTTAAAGAACCAATAGAACCTGTTAAATATTCCATGGTGAACTTAAAGAACCAATATATATTATTTAACGTTATTGGTTAACGTTACGTGATTGATTGATCCTGATGTTATTGATTAACGTTACGTGATTGATTTATCCTGATTCGCTGGCTCTGTTCAGGTACCTTTTTGTATTTTCTGTTTTTAGCCTTTGAAGCACTTTCTTAAACTAATTTTACAAGTTTATCATCATTATTATTATTTTCATTAATATAATCCGAACATAATTTTGAAAATGTGGGCGTGGACATTATACATTTGAAAAGCATGATAATATACTTTCTAAGATAACAAGCTGTGGTGCAACACCGGAAGCTGTCCGTGTCTTTACACACAAGCAGCTTAAAAACACAAGTTAGTGAGTCTGGTGAGACGGAGACACAGAAGCAGAAGAGAACAAGGAGAGTTAAAGACGGTGATTTACGATTGTAACGTGAAGGAGGTGTAACGTGAAGGAGTAAACATGAAAACATCCAATAAACATCATTAAAGTCTAACCTGACGACAATCTGCTGTTGATCCGCTGCTGCTGCTGCTGCTCCGCTTACTTCCGGTGTTCTTCTTTTTCTTCTTCCTCGTGCAGCGGAGTGCTGCTGCCTCCTGCTGGTGACGTACACACACTACAGATGATCACAGTCCTGAGTCAAATATGTCTCAACTCATCACGTAAAGTTTGTGTCTGTTCAGAGACTTCAGATGTCTCATTAACTTGTATTGTATCTTCACGAGGACTCGATTCAGTTTGAAACCATCGTAGTGACCACATTTAAGAACAGATAGAGCACAGAGTACCTGAACAGGTAGTGAACAGAGTACCTGAACAGGTAGTGAACAGGTAGAGAACAGAGTATCTGAACAGGTAGAGAACAGAGTGCCTGAACAGGTAGTGAACAGAGTACCCGAACAGGTAGTGAACAGAGTAC